CTAACGTCAAATACCACTATTATTTTCTGCGTCCCATGGATCCAGTGTATGGCCCCATTCAGGCACACCCGTCGGGTACTTCTCCCATTCCTTATCTCAGAGGCGTGACCTATATCATAAAAAAAACGAAGGTGGGCAGAGTCTACCTGCAATGGCCTCCATGAAGAATCTCTACCTAGGGTGAATGTGTTGAACCGAATATGCCTATTGCTAAGTAGGTTGGGTTGAAAGGACAAGATCTGGAGAACCTTATACTCGCTAGTCAGTGGATTATAGCCCAAGTGATATGTTGCGTAGGGGAAGCAGTAATTATTATCTATTACATAGGGAAGTTCGATGGACTCTTGAGTGCTAGGGTTAAGTATGAAAACAGGACCACACGTAGAGGATGCACAAACCAATCCATGGAAACATTGCACACTATTATGACGAAATGCGAGAGCTTCGCATCGACTCAGGTATGAAAATTCGGCAACAGGAGTTGGATTTAGAATATACTGCACATGATCAGGATAACGTTCGAGAACTTGGCTCCGAGTCGTGAGTGGAAGTTGGGCGATGGGTGTTGAAATTAGAATATTATTCTCTCCTTGTTGCTCCTCTATCTTTGAAGAGAACAAACGGCTATTCTTATGGAAAAGGAAGTTAGTGGTGCTCTTGTTTCTGTCGTTGCAGTGAAAATTGTTGAAGGCGGTGACAAAGGAAGGGCAGTGGAAGAGGGAAGACCAAGACTTGCATACGCAACTTGCATCGCATCAGAGACTTTGGTGGTAGCTGTGGGAGTATATGATAGAATATGATTTCGGTTGGGAGCTCAGGGTTCATACATACATATCTCGATTTTACCAGTTTCCTTGGATGACTTTCTTTGGCCATGGAAAGACCTGAATATAGTACGCTAAAGAGGCAGAAAAAGAAACACAGGGGATGCTATAATTTTGCTAGGGTTTGTTGGCTTGGTATTTATAGGTCAACAGAGTTACTAACAAGCTAAAAGAACAAATTCAAGGAATTCTAACCATATCTGAATTGGTATCCTTTTTTCTCAGGGAGATTCACTATTATACCAAATATAGGAGCTCAAATTATAAAAAAAACATATATGAAATGGACTTTATAAATACACCTAAAGCCCATTTACAACATAACAAAAAGACTTTTAACTTCTTTTAAATTACAAAACTGTCATTGATTTCTTAAAACAAACTCAACCCCTAAACCTTATAAAAAAAACTCAGAATACTCAATAGGACATCAAAGTAATTTAATAATCAAAATTAAATTCAATAGGTTCAGCTGTCATTTTTTGGGTTTTTATTTGGTATGTTTATAAAAATTAAATGGTGTATGGTTTATTTATAATTTTAGTGCTAAAAATGGGTATATGACTAAATATCCCTTTTTTATATTTGTTCTTTGATATCTGAGACAATTCAAATTCCATTGGTTTGTAGGATTAAAATTTGATTTTTGCTACATCCAACTGTGTTTAAATCCAATGATATTTTTCCGCGTGTAAGGTTTTCAATTTTAAATACGATTGTTTTCCACCAACATGGTTAATCTTTCAGCCTTTATATATAATTAGCTTCAACTCTCTTGTTGACGGTGGTTTTGCTGCTGTGGGGTTGAACAGCTGAAGCTGAAGGCTAGTGAGCACAAGGGACGGCAGGCATTTGGGTTTGCTATATTCAAACTGATGTCTGAAAGGGACAAAATTTCATGATCCCACTTGGGTGCTATCATCACAAAGAATGTCACATAATTATTTGAAAGGAACAAAAATAAAAACATAAAAAGAAATTACATGTAATCGTTCAGATTTTTCTAGCCAATTGACTACATGATCTACTATCAAAATTGGGCAAATAGATATACTCTAAAATCCACGACATAGCAATCATGTTGCCCAAATATCTATATTGTCAACGCAACATAATGGTGTGACGGTCACACTAAAGAATTCATCCACAATTTCTCAAATCAGACCCACATTAAAAAAATTGCATGAGGAAAAAAAAAGGAAAAAAATAATGGATGAATGAATTGCCACAAACGCTTTAAACCAAAAAATAGAAAAAAGAGTTGCAGCTACTTCTGTGCCAATCTTCTAATCTACAGCTTCCACATGCTCACTCTCCCTGTGATGACTCGTGAGCTTCTTCAAGGTTCTTCGGATTCTGAGCATGTTTATTACATTTTGTTGTCAAAATCATATAATCTGCTAACCAACACAAAAACAACATAGTTAAATTCAAGAGTGACAACTAAATCAAATAATCCGAATTTGAATTCTGGAAAGATGAGAGAAATTACGAGAGCAAAAAGAAGAAAAACAATTGTATACTTCCGCAATGATGAAACCTCCTGAAGTAAAACAATCATTTTTTCACGAATGGTTTGTGGCAAACAAGTAATCGTTGGTCACTGCCATTCTGAAGGTCGATCACCCTTGCTTCCCAACGTATTTGTGTAGCAAACATGCGCGCCATCTCAGTATAGCTCCCACTTTATCACAGAGAATCCCTGCCAACCGGCCATAATTCACATCTCAAAACAAGGAAAGACAGACAACATACTTCTTCATCTTAAGTTGCATCTTGCAGTATAGAAATATAAGCAAGGGGGATATAAAAGTACCTCAGGTCGCAGAATCCGATCCATCTCCAAGAATAAATCCGTCATGCTGCACCTCTCTGAAGACAGATGCGAGAGCAGCCCATTTGCATGCAGCAAATCATATGTTCGAGGATATGTAGGGAACGGTTCACAAAGGGAACGAAAATAGGATATAAAGAGCACAAATGAGTCCTATAGTTTTTTTAAATTCAAACTTTGTCAACTTTAGTTAGAGTTAGTCTTTCTCAAAAAAATTTTGCGTTCCAAAAAAAATACAGAAGCTTCAAATATCAAGTTAGCCAGCAGAGTTTCTGAAGGAAATGAAACCAACGATTTACCAGTCATGCAAAACACCAGCAAAACCTTGATCTAGTATGAGAGGAAGTGTATAGGGAGCATTTACAGGCACAACATTCATCACCCAAATTGATTTTCTTTCCTCCATAAAAGCAGCATTTAAACCTGCCAATCCAATAAATTACAGAAAAGAAAAATAAAGATTTAGAATATGTTGCGCTCCTTTTGTACAAAGACAGTAAGAACAAATTGATATACTCACAATTTCCAAATGGAGTGTCTCCAACTTAGGAAAGAACCTAAGTAAGTATGGTAAAAGATTCCATCCATGACTATTTCCAATTGACATTTTCAAGTTTGTCAAATGATGGAACTCATGGAATATGTCTACCCACAGATTCTCCAAATTTCCGATTCATCCCAAATTAGCACACCATCACCTTGATCATCTAGATAATTCAAGTGTACAACATATTCTAGTGCCTTTGCCAAAAAGAAAGAAAAGAAAAAGAAAGTGATTAAGAACACCTCTTAAATACCAAAAAGTTTACCAAAACAAAATCAGTGTACTAACGCCTACTGAAACATTTAATTAAAATGTAATGTCTCACCCCACCCAATTGTACGCTCGCCCAATGTTAGAGACCTAATGTGAGTCAAACCAGCCATTATACTAAAAGCTCTAGCAAGAAATACTCTTTTAGCATCGAGTTTGGGGTAATTTAGATCTTCCCATCCAACTTGAATTTTTGCTTCAACAAGATAAGGCATTTCTTCTATTTTATAAGTCCCCAGGATGTCTTCATCGATGATAAGGGTCCTCAAATTGGGTGCATTAATTATAAAACCATATGTATTTAGGTTGCCATTACCATGCTTGAAATCAAACGATGACTGTAGCTTAATTTGTAAATCCTTCAGACTTTTTGAACTGACATCAAAGTTTCATTCTTCATCAGGATATTCGTTCAGCTCTCCCACCAATGTTAGGTCCTCAAGCACAAGGCGGAAACTGTAGAAATCTTGCAAGGATTTGTCACAATAATATGAGATGTACCACATGCAGAACCTTGAAAGATGGGCGGGAATCTGGTGGCACAACAACCTTCACTTTGCTCAATTCCAGAACCTGGAGATGCTGATTTGTAAATACTTCCACGGGCAGCTGGAAGTTAACCTCTTCACTGTTTCCTTCGTCATCTGGACATATAGAGAGGTCCAGCTCCTTGACAATGCGTTTTAGAGAAGCACAGATCAAAGTGGTGATTTCGGCGGGGCAGGTGTGATCATAAAATTCCATTTTGACCT